GACCCTACTCTTCCTTTCCCCTAACACCAGACAAATATGACACAAATACCTAGGAGTCCACGCCCTGATGCTATGAACAGACTGCAGAGGAAACCCATGTCAGCTGTTTCAGAGAGTCCCTCACTCCATAAGGTAGCACCAGCGTCCCCAGGAGATGAAGGGTGAGCAGCTACAGAACCAGTTGTCTATGACCTTGAAGACATTCAGAAAAATTTTCGGCAACTTCACCCTCTGCCCATTTTTAAAGCATAAGCCCTGAATATCAGGTACTATCCTTAACATTTATAATGGGCACCATATCAAGCACAAGAGTGTGCTACCCCTGGAGCAAGGGACAAGGCTCTTCTGCATACATGGTAATCTCTCTCCCCTCACACATACCATGTTTCAAAATACAACCAGTGTTACTAAATGTAGTTTCCTTTTGCATCTGTATAATATTATGCGTTATATATTATGCACCCACCTGGTCTAGTGGGAAATGTCCCTGGCCAGGGCAGGGGGCTTGGAACTTGATGATCTTTATGGTCCCTTCCAACCCAACCCATTCTATGATTACCATCAGAACAGAGTGAAATCTTTAGCCTAAACATTAATTGATTAAAAACATGCATTCAACAACAGCAAATCATTACATGACTCCCTCTGTTCCACTCAATTGCCTGCGTGAAGGAAAACCACCAAACAACATCAGAATTTGTTCTGAACAGTTTTTAAAGGAGCATCTCAGTTTTAAAAATCTGACACAACTCTTTGAGGAGAATTTCCCTTTGACTGATATTTAGAGAAGCCAAGTTATAGAAAATACTTTGTTCAGTCTAAAATAAACCTCCTCTTCCATTTCTCCAAACTGTAAGTAAACTAAAAGAGCAGTTAATTGCAGTATCAGGTACCTGCTGAATCAGGTACCTCCAGGCCCACCTTCAGTAATGCTTGAAGTTCCACGTGCAAAATCTCTGTTACAAATTGCACCCATCTCAATGGATGTCGACTGCGGGGCCCGGGGCTGAAAACACAGCCTGGAGCAGTCCCCATCTGATGGGAAACTGCAACTACTGTGAAGTTAAAAGTGACATTTCAAATTATGTCTTGGTGCTCCTGATCCACCTCCCCCTTCAGGGACTCCCATATCAAATCAGCTCGCTTTGCAAGTCAAAATAAGTTGTTTCTGACTGTCACCACTGACTATTGCTCTCTGAAAATCAAGCTGTTTTCTCCCTACTTTATACATTACCCGCAGATATGAAGACTCCAAACTCTGAACGTAATTGGCAATTCTCTTGACAATGTACAGGGAAAAAGAGAAGCACCAGTTGCTCAACTGCTCAATTGGATCTGGAACAATGACAGCAGTTATAATTGCTCTCTACCACTTAAATAACCAGATACCATATGACTCAGAAGATGGAGGCTAAGACATTAACAGGACCAAGATGCCATTTTTGCGACAAATACATTTCCAGCCAATTTTTTTTTAATATCAGAGGAAGCTAATGGTGGAGGGTGAGAAAAATATATACAAAGGTTAAATTGAACGTGCTGTCAGCAGGATGCAACTACGCTCACTCTCTGGGAGATGTATGCAGATAGGAAACAGTTTCCCTTGGGGAAATTAGAGGTATCTTTTTGCCAAGCAGTTTAGGCAGCTTAAACACCTGGGATCATGTATCCTTACAATTAGCACTGCAATGGCTTAAGTCCAAAGTGTTTATGAATGTTTCTGCATGGGTGAGAAGAGCCCAACTAAAAAATTCAGGTCTGGGACACTTTGATTCCTAATACTGCAGCCTTCCCTCCCCTTCCCTGAGGACTAACTCCCAGAGGCAACTGGGTGCAGTGCTGACCTTTCAGAACATTTGAAATGCAAATACAGTTTTATTTACTTCCTGACCTTGAAACATCTGCAGCTCTCTAAATCAAAAGCAACTACTGATATTTAGCAACTTCTTCTGCCCCTGCTTCTTTCTACCAGGAGACGGAGACCGTGCTTCAGTGTCACCATGATATAGCATGGGTGTTGCATTGACATTGGAGAACTTGTGGTTGGGCTCCTTGGGCAGCTGGCACCATTGCCCTTCATCTTGCATCTCATCTAGCAGAACAAAGCCTGGCTGGTGAGGAAAGAGCTACAGATGGACATTTTGGTCAAACCAAAGACAGAAAAATATTAAAATTCCTCAGCACTGACATCCTGGGTTTCTGTTCCGGGTGAGCCAGTTGAGTTGACAGTCTCAACTTCTGTACTTTGAGTATGTCATAGAAGAGCTGCTGGTGATGCTATCTTAACCTCTATAATAGAAAAAAAGGCTTTTCAAGGTTCATGTCATGTACCCTGGGCCATGAGTGTATGGTTTAATTTTTCAGAGGAGAACTCTGGCAAAGGCAATGACTTTTCATCCTGCTCCTTCCTGAAAAAACTCTGGCAAATTGTTGGAAGCAATTGGTTTCATTCAATTTGGTGGGGTGATGCTGGAAACCGAGTAGTGATTGCTGACAAAAAATCTTCAAAAGGGAAGTGCTAGGAAGAAGGTGATCTCTGCAAACTTTCAAAACTGATTCCCCAAAAACTTTTATTCATCAGCTTAATCTTCATGGATTCAGCAAAATGGAAGAGGATTCTCCAACTCCTGTCTCACTTGACAAACTTTGAGCACTAGCAGCAACAGGTAGGTCAGTCTTTTTGCAAATGAAATAATTACCCAGCTCAAATATCCTGAGATGTTCAGCCCACACTGCAGTGCCTCCAGATTAGTTGTATTTGTGTTTCTAAGTCAGTTTGTATGCTTTTGAAAATCCTACACTTCTCTGATGCTCCCAAATGGCAAAAACTCCACACTGGTTAGTACTTAACATTTTATTTCGATTTATTCATCTTTAAAATGCCCCCGAGTCCTTTCTAATATCCATGTTTGTCTTTTGTAAGTCTAATGCCTAGTTATCATATCTTTGTCTTTCTCAGTCTGGAAATGGTGGCAACTAACTCCTCTCCTGGGCATTTTTTTAGTTACTCTTCTATTATAACCTCTATTTCAAGATAGATTATCCCCACCTGTTTACAGACCTGTAAGCTGAGGGCTGGTGTAAAAACCACAGCACCAGCTGCATTCTCACTGGACCCAGATTTGAAGAAAGGCTGCTTGAGGAGAAGCCCAGACATTTAGCCAGGAGTAGGAGCTGGTAAGAGGAGAATGATTCTTTCACAGCAGCTCCACAGAGGACAGCCAGCACCTCCAAACCTACCGAGCCACACAATAGGGAAGTGATCATGCCTCTGTACCGGTGAGGCCTCACGTTGAGTACTGTGTTCAGTTCTGAGCCCCTCACTACAAGAAGGACACTGAAGTGCTGGAACGTGTCCAGAGGAGAGCCACCAAGCTCTAGAGAACAAGTTCTAGAGAACAAGTCATACGAGGAGAGACTGAGGGAACTGGGCATGTTCCATTTGGAGAAGAGGAGGCTGAGGGGAAACCTCATTGCCCTCTACAACTACCTGAAAGGAGGGTGTAGAGAGGTAGGTGGTGGCCTCTTCTCCCGAGTGAATAACGACAGGACCAGAGGAAATGTTCTGAAGTTGAGGCAGGGGAGGTTTAGATTAGATATTAGGAAGAAATATTTTACTGAGAGAGTGGTCAGGCACTGGAACAGCCTGCCCAGGGAGGTGGTGGAGTCACCATCCCTGGAGGTATTTAAGAATCGTGTAGACATGGCTCTTCAGGACATGCTCTAGTGCCTGAGATTGTTGGGTTGGGTGTTTTGGTTTTTTGGGGTTTTTTTTGGTTGGTGGTTTTTGTTTTTGTTTTGTATATGCATGATTGGACTCAATGATCTCAAAGGTCCCTTCTAACCATGAAGATTCTGTGATACAGCATTGACCCAGATTGGAGGTGCCTGTACCTCTGCACACGCAATTTCCCTGACTCTTGCAGTCCCCACTGCAGCAGTAAGTGGTGAGAAATTCAAACCTCAGGCCCCATCCCTATCACCACAACACAGCACCCATAGCCCTGTCAGTGTCTAGGATGCAGCTTCTGTTCCATCTGATACTTCACCGTGCCACATTCCTTTTACACCAGGGCTGGCACTTCCCACCTTTCCATTCAGGCATCCACATTCAGCAGCTCTGCAGGCTCCCTGGGCTAGCCTGCTTGCCTTCTGTGAGCCACAGCTAGCCATGTCCATGCTAGCAGAAGCCTCTGCTGTTGCTATGCCAAGGCCACTGCACTGCCAAGCTCCAGCATGCCCTCATTGCCCTACTTGCGTCTGCCGTCCAAATAAATCTTATCTTGTTTTCTTGTCCTGTCTCTACAGTGTCACGGTTTCTGTCTCTGTACCCTGGGGGTCGCCTGCAAGGAAATGAACTGATTGGCTCCAACCCATGGAAGCAAAAGGGCTAATCCAGTAGCTGCATCAGCAGCAAATGGTACACAGCAGGGCTATACAGCGCAGTCTGACCACAGAAAAGATTCCCTGAAGCAGGTCCTAGGATAAAAGAGCTAAGTGTGTGATCCCACCTCCCAATTTAAACATCCACATGCCAGATGACGACAACCTCCTATTAAACTGCAACTGGGAATCAGCAGAGAAACGTAATTAATCTCATGCTTGGTCCCAACGACTTTAAAACAGGTATTGCTGAGTCAGTGGCTTGGATTACAGAAACCAGAGATCTTTAATAGAATTTGACAGCTTTTCAGGCTTGCACAAAGTCCTCTAGAAGCAGATCAAAGTGGGAACACCAGTTCTAGTCAGGTTCACAGGTGGAAACAAGCTTCCTACAAAGATGTACCCAATGAAATCACCAATGTTACAGAGGTTGTCTTCCCTTCACGCTTCCCACAGTGAGGATCCCTCTTTGCAGTGTTGCCCTCCCAGTGCTCCCTTGGGATCTACTTCCCTGCTTAGCACAGATCTCCTTCCCCAAGGTGAAGGCCTTTAGACCCTGTCCAAAACATTCCCATTCAGCAGCAGGGCTACGAAACACCCTGGCTGTCATAACTCACAGTTGGCCTCTTCCATTGTATTCGCCGCAGCTTAACCTCTGGCAGCAGGTTGGGACCGATGGAGCTGATGTGAGCGGGGAAGGTGGCATCCTCAAAAAGCAGTCCTTGGCTCAGACACAAGGCTCGCAGGCGGTTGAAGTCCTGGTTATTAAATTTCTTGGCGTGCTGGGGGCTTCCTGTTCCTGCTGTTGTTTGCCAGCCCTGCTCCGACACCAGAGTGGAGTCGGGGGTGAACATTGTGCTCCTTTCCTGTGATAGAGAGACATGGACCGCCGTTAGTTTTCTGATCCAAAGTGGTGCCTTAGGAGCATGTGGGAAAGCAAACTTCTCCCCCCACCCAGAGGATTGTGGAGCAGCAGCTTGCAAAGCTGAGGGCAGTCACAGTGACAAAATCCTTATTAGCTGGAAACGCCTGGGGAAAGAGCAGTCGTCAAATCCCAACTGGTTTATCTTAAACCAGTGCTGTCACTGCTACAAATTCAATTTTGAGTCTACCCTGAGGACAGAGAGCAAAGCTGTTAGCGAGCCACTGTGTTAGCACTGAGGTACATCTGCAACATAAGCAAGCATTGGGCATGGAGCAGGAGCTGCAGACACAGGGGAGGAGGGAGGAGTGTGAGCAGGGAAGCTGCTCAGAGGCACCCAGGACCCTCCTGGCCATGAATCACACCTGTGCCCAGGGCATCTTTTAAGTTATTTATTTCATTTCCACAAGTAAGCACTTGACAATCACTCCCTGTGAGACCTAAAAATGGTAGAGACTTGCTTTTGTTTGGGATCTGCTCCAAAGACCCTGGATAGATGAGGGGGGTGTCCTACAAGCTTACACAGATGTTGCATTTAAAAATGAAACAATAAAGCTACTTATAATTTCAAGACTAGGTTATTGGATCTTACAATGAGAAATACAGGGCAGTACCTGAAGGGGCCTACAGGAAGGCTGGGGAGAACCTGTTTAGAAAGGCCTGCAGTGACAGGATGAGGGGAAATGGCTTCAAGCTGGAGGGGAGCAGGTTTAGATTGGAGATGAGGAGAAAGTTCTTCACTGTGAGGGTGGTGGAGCACTGGAACAGGTTGCCCAGGGAGGTGGTTGAGGCCCCTTCCCTGGAGATATTCAAGGTGAGGCTCGACGAGGCCTTGGGCAACCTGGTCTAGTTGGGGGTGTCCCTGCTGACTGCGGGGAGGTTGGACTAGATGACCTTTGGAGGTCCCTTCTGGCCTGGACAACTCTATGACTCTATGACTAGACTCCACACTGCATAGAGTAGACTCCCTACAGCTACAGAGATGGAACCAAGCTGCAGCATCCAGACCTGGATCCCACCTGCAGTACTTGCTCACATGATCCCCCAGGGTCTGGGGGTTTTGAACTCAGTAGTTCATTTGCAGGCCAGTGTTTAAATAGATCTGAACTGTAGATTCATATTTAAACTTGACAGTCATTGCATGGCATCTGTAGCTATTCCAGTCTGGAACATGTTCGAATCCCCCTTCGTAATGCATCTAAAGGAAAGGTGAATTTAGGAAACGTGAACATTTGACACACACAGTTAAATCCTAGAACGGACAGACCTGCTGGAACAGCTAGAGAATGGTACAGGAGGTAAAATCTCCTGTTGTGGACTCTGTCCCCTTTACAGCCATCAAAGAGCACAGCAGGACTCTTGCTGTCAACGATCTACTTTTGTTCCAAAAGGAGACACTGGACTGTGGAGTGAGATGACTTTTAGGACACAAGTAGGAAAAGGGCATAGGAAGGCAGAAAAGGTGCACGTTTGGGCAGGCAGTGACACCAGACTATTTAGCTAAAATAATAAATAATAATATAATAATTATAATATATAATTAAACAATCATATTATAATATATAATGTTATGTTTCATATTAAATATTATAATATTATATATTGTAATGTGTGAAATAATGTATAATATATACTATGTAATATATATATGTAATTTATTATAAAATAATAAATAATAGCTAAAGAGCTATTTTTTCTGTCTAACCAAGGTAGGGGCTTCCAGGTGCACTCGCCAGAGCTGCGTGGACATACAGAGAGATGTACACATGTGCACCATCTCTTGGGGATCTTCCTTCAGCTAAAAAGCTCTGTTTTCTAGTTCAAAATTCAGAGAAAAAGCAAGAAGGCTGTTCGGCCCATCTGGCCTCCTGTTTCCTCCAGCACCTTTCATCATGCAAAGCTATATGTTGCTGGGTCAAAATATAACTTGAGATCCACACCAGCTTTCACGCTTCATAGAATCATAGAATGGTTAGGGTTGGAAGGGACCTTAAAGATCATCCAGTTCCAACCCCCCTGCCCTGGGCAGGGACACCTCCCACCAGACCAGGTTGCTCAAAGCCCCATCCAGCCTGGCCTTGAACCCCTGCAGGGATGGGGCAGCCACAGCTTCTCTGGGCAACCTGTTCCAGTGTCTCACCACCCTCACAGGAAAGAATTTCTTCCTGATATGTAATCTAAATCTCCCCTCTTTCAGTTTAAAACTGTTCCCCTCATCCTATCACTTCAGTCCCTGATAAAGAGAGTTTTGCACTTTCCCTCACAAAACCAGACCTTTTTGCTGTCCTGAGCTACAATTCCCCTTTTGTTCCTTTCCATATAAAAAGAGAAGCCCCTGGTGAAGTCCTGTGTGAGCAGACTTAAAGTCAAGAAGGATCAGTGATCACCTCCTCTGGCTTCTTGTATGACAGATGCCACTGCACTTGATTCAGCAATTCCTGCCCCTAGCTCTTGGCTTTCACTTAAGGTGTACCTTCTCATAAATTAGCACTGGAAAATGCACCACATGCTCTGGGCAAGCCACTCCTACACTTAATTAACTTTGCTGTGCTAATTTCCAGCCTGAAGTCATTTAGTTCAGTGTCAAGCCACCAGACGCCATCATATTGTTTTTTTTTCAGTAGATGAAGGGGGTCTTTTCCTACCAAAGTTATCTGTAGATCCAATATGTTGCTGGTGCACTACAAAGAGAGCAGATGGCTCCACTAAGAGCAAAGCCTCAGACTTTAATTGTGATTCGTTCACACATGTGAAAACCACAGAGCAGCCACACTGAAGGTGTGACACAGCCCCCACACATACACACCGTTCATTTAGTGTCATCACCTTTATTGGTGCTTCAAGTCACTTGGCCTCCTGGTATCGTAACAACAGCATTAAAAAAAAAATGAGGAGTTTTGCATCTCCTTTTTTCAATTAAAGCCCCTCAAAAAAATCAGATGGAATTCAGAAATCACCCTTGCCCAACAAGAAGAGAGAACATTCCCCTTGGGCTTGCATTTTTTAATACAATAGAAATAAATCTCATGTAATGTACCATAGCACGACAAGGGAATGGCTTCTTCTTAACAAATACTCATTTGAAACCATGCCCAGGCCCCATGCATGCTAAGATCTATTTCTTGCAACAGTGTTCCAGCAAAACTGATTACTAATTCCAAAACTCAAATTAAAACTAACAGAGCTTGAAGGCTGGGTCTGACACACGTTCCCTCTCTTCTGACAGAGAACAAGAGTTTTTAGCATGTGTGTGTGTGTGTTTAATTACGTTGTTTAACATATCCGGAATAAATTAGCAACCAGACTGAAGAAAATAATACACTTAACTATTTTCCCCTCGCAGGAATAACTTAATCAGCATCGTGTCTGGGGGCATACACTCACAGATACACGAGCTCTATATCCACTTGTGCCAGGGGGCAGGCAGTCCATAAGGTCACACACCAGCTGGCAATGTCCTGTCCACACCACTATGCTCTGCTGGCCACCTCTTCCAGAGCAGCATCCTGAGCTGTAGCCACAGGTTGACTCTCCCGGGTGCACCAGCAAGAGCAAAGATCACCACAGCTTTTAAAGCAGAATATTGCTTTCCTGGCTGGGGAGCTTCTCACCGTTACTGAACTCTGAGGCAGAAAGAGTTCAAAGGGACAAAGTTATAGTGCCACGGGTCTCAGAGGCATCGCCCTTGGACTGCTCCCTGTTACGTGCCATGGGAAGGGAGGGAGGGATTTCATACACTCACAACAGCTACTTCAGACATATTGTGAAACACAAGAGAGTGACTCTCAACTAAGGAAATTACTGTTCAGGAGGGATTAAACATATATTTACTTAGTCCTGGGATCTCCTCCAACACATTTACTTATCTGCAATGGAGAAAGGCATCACGCCCAGCTTTGCATCTACTGCTCTTTTTTGGTCCCTCTTCCTTCCCAGCAGAGAGATCCTTTCTCTTGTTGCGCGTCTCAGAGGGAGGGTCAAATGATAAAGGGTGAGGGAAGAAAGGAAAGCACTGGAAAAGCTACAGAGAGAAAGAGTAAAAGAGTCTGAGAGTGACAATTGGAAGGGATGGGAAGGGAAGGAGAGTCTCTGGGGATATCAGAGCCAAAAGGTTGGCGACTCCAGCAGAAACAAACCTGGGAACCCCAAGCACCCACCTTATTCTGCATTAAACAGCTTAAAAGCCAGCAGCAAAGGGTGTGACTTGTCTCCCTCCAGCACTCATTCACGAAAGATGTCAAGCAACTGTTATAATCAGATACACAATGGTGGCAAATGCTACTGACAGCTAATCACACTTTGCATAAAGATTTATGTCAGACTACAGACATAATTTCCTTCAATGGCTTCTGATATTTTTCACTGAGTAGAAAGTGGAAATAGGCAATTAGAAACACGTGTCTACTTCATAGCTGAACTCTCCACCTTCTCTTCTCCACCGATTTTCTCATGTTGGCTCAGCTGGGTTTCTGTACTTTAAGAAGAGCAGCTGAATTTTCTCAAACACTACAAAGAACACCAAAAAAGACAGAAAGCCAGCAGTCCTTCTTCCCCTGTTTCCTCTCAAACACTCCAAACTATCAATGTATATTTCATCTCACCCATAATATTCAATATATGCTACAGTAATGCAAGGACTCTTTCCCTCAAAGACTCTGTCACTCATGTATTTGGAGCATTGTAAAAACTTCAGGGAGTCAGTTTCAGAATTGTCTTATAATGAAGGAATGTGTGAGTTTATTAGCTCTCCTCGCATTCAGAGAAAAAACAAATGAGAGGGTGCTGCTTTTCAGCAGCTTGCCCACAGTGACAGAAAACCATGAAGGCAGAGCTGGGACCTGAACTTGGCCATCCCAAAGTCCAGATGGGCAACAGCTCCTTGTAAGTACAATGTGTGAAAGCCTCGAGTACCTCAGAAAATCAAAACCAGAGCCAGGCACTTTGGCAATCCTCCAGGAGATTACTTTCCCAGGGGCATCTTGCATGACCTTCTGCTCCAAATAGTCTGTGAAGTACCCCCTTCTGGCTATTTATTAAGTCAATTTTCTCCTCGTTTTGCATACATAACATAGGACAGTTCCAGATACCTTTTTTCTACCTCATTTAACATCAGCATACAGTAACGATAAAGTACTCCTCATCTTAGGATCTCCACTCCCACTTGATCCAATTACTTCTGACAACTTACCATTTTACTATGAGGCTCTTTCTAGGACAGCAAATTCATCTTTTCTTTCCCTCCAGGTAACATTAAGGATGGGGACTCTAATTTATTCTCCCTCCCCAAAACAAATCCCTTTCAATGCCTCTGTGGTGCCTTTCCAGCACTATTACTTGCATTTCACCTGCTTCACCTTGTACTATGTAAAACAGCAAAGTGATGTTTTACCTGTAATGCCTCCCGTGTAGCTCTTCAGCCAGCAACAACGGAGTGACAGACAGGCTGGCACTATCTCCCTTCTCCTTTATAGGGCTGCTTTTGCCACGCCTTAGGCAAACACAACCAAGTTGAACTCAAGTTCAAGTCCGAAAGCAAGCAATCTGACTCAGGTGTAATAGTTCCATTCAGATATCATACCATATATATAGAGAGAGACAGACTTCTATTAGCCATCCACAATGAACTGTCTATTGACCTATGTCGGTTGATAGTTTGTTGTGGTTAACCATGGCTTCAGTCACGGTTATTCTTACAAGAAAATTTTTTGCACCTCCCACACTTCCACACTATCTGTTTTTCTCCTCACACCACCAGGAAACACAGCAATCATCCTGGATCCAGGCACAGCCTGGCAGGACTCACCATGAGACAAGTTATCAGAGCTGTGTGTCATTCTTTCTGCAAGAGTAAAAGCAGTAGATACTTTTAGGCCAGGCATTCACACTGGGATCTTAACTTATATTTTCAGAGCTGTGTGTCATTCTTTCTGCAACAGTAAAAGCAGTAGATACTTTTAGGCCAATACCTAGGCATTCACACTGGGATCTTAACTTATATTCCACATCAGTTCACTCACTTGGATAGTTCACTTCCTTCAGGGTTGCCTGAGGATGTAAGAGTTATCCATGTATTTGCAAGACCTAGGAGACTGGCCTCCGTTACCCTAAAGCCCAAAACCAAAGAATTAAAGAGTACAAAAGTATGGGAAGGAGGAGGTTATTTAATTTTTGGGAGACCAAACTGAGATAGGTTGAGAGCAGAAACCTAAAGAGATCTAATTGCAGTCTCCCACTAACTAAAAGGCAGTTACAGAGAAGGTGGAGCCAGCCTATTCTTGAAAGTACACAGCAGATGGGCAGAGGCCATAGGCACAAGAAGCAGCAAGGGAAATTATACATGGTTGGAGAGAAAAAAAAAATTCTTCAGAGTAATTCAGCCCAGGAAAAGATGCCTGGAGAGACTGGAGCACCTCCACCCTTGGAGACATTCAGCTGGACAAGGCCATGAGCAACATCACCTAACTTGGAAGTCAACCCTACTTTGAGCTGGAGTGGGCCTCAAAGACCTACCAAGGTCCCTTCTCAGAGAAATATCTGTTTCTCTGTTTCTGGAGCTGTAGTTCATGCAGCAGCATCCAGGCTGGCTTCAGGCCAGGTGGGCCACAGCAGTGGCAGCACAGATGTCCACAGGGGTTGCAAAAGTCACCTGAAGACTTGCATGGTTACTGCCCTTTGAGCGCTATGCTGAGGCATGACTGCTGTCAAAGCCCCAGGTGGCAAATGGAAAACCAGCTCAGGTTATGGCTGTAGGTACGCAGCAGGTTAGGTACTTATCCCAAGAAACTACCCTCTCTTTTTCAAGCTACCACAGCTTATTCATCAAAAGAAAAGTTTCTCTGCAGTGACCATTCATGAAGTTTAGCTTGAGGCTCAACAGAAAATCTTACCAATGTGTAGTTCTTTCCTTACCCAACGTAACAGAATTACCTGGGCTCAGAAATTTCTTCAGCTCAAGACTTTGAACTTGGATTGCAGTCTCTTTGAGGTGGGATGGTTAGCAGTTCCCATAGCAGCTGGTCTCTAGGAGCTCGGGGAGATGAGAACATAAAAAGTGCTCGTGAAAAAGACAGTTCAGCTTCCTCATCAATGTTTAATTTACTTCTGTGGGTCTCCAGAACTAGATCTTTGAAAGCTGTGCACTGCATTCTGCCTACTCACATTTTAGGGCTCTCATTTCTGCATGAGAACTCAATATTAGAAGACTCTAATAGGAAAGGCATTCCTGTAAATTAGAGCCAAACCTGCCCCAGAGAGCAAAACAGGTGCAGTTTTCCTTTAAGAGCCATTTTTTTCCACAACCGCTACATAAATAAAAGCTGATTGCACCAGAAGCAGAGAGCAAAGATTTCCTTCATTGCAGGAAAGGAGCTCTGGGGTGATAAATGCTAGCGCTGCCAGCTCATCTGACAGCACGCGTGCTGTTAATCGCCTCCTCTCTGGGGAAACGGCAGGTATATTCCCCTCCAGGTATGGTGATTCATTGTCTGGAACTGATATCTCTGCTTAAATGGTGGATTAACATGATTTAAGAAATATTCATTGCAAAGTTGATTAGAAAGCACCATCACCAACCCGGCAGGAGATTTCAGTTATTGCAGCATGACACCATTTTGAGATTGTCAGCTTTTCTGCAGAAGGCTGTATTGATGTGTCCATTTTCACAGTGACTCCCAGGGAAGGAAACCCAGAAGGCTGAGGGATTTATGCATGGTAATAAGACTTTGGATTATTTGGTCTCCTAACTGTTTGTGGAATCCTGGAAGAAAAAAAAAAAAGAGAGAAAGAAAAAAAGAGGCATTTGAGTGAAAAGCACAGGGCTGAGCATTGGGAGAGCAGGGATGTTTTTGGCTGGTGGCACCCTGTAAGATTGTGGCAGATGCAACATTGCCCTGACTTGAGGTTTGCTTCTGCAGAGCAGGGTCATTAATCCACCTCAGGGTAGGTGTGCAGCTTGATCCACTCGTGAGCAAAAGGAGCTGAGGGATCACTGAAAACTTCACTTCTACGCTGCCAGTGACCACCTCAGGGCTGTGAAAAGCACAAATAAAGGAAAATCCCTCCGCTTAGGGCCGACAGCTGTGGTGCATTCCTTTCTCCAGTACAGAGGGCACAGGCACCAAAGGGCAAACGCCAAGAAGCACTGTTGAACCTGTTTTTTCTGTTAGTTAGTTAGCAAGGTCTCAGCTGGCCCCACAGAATTTCATGTATTTTGGGATTAATGAACCTTTATTTCTTTCTGCCCTGGAATAAAACTACACAAAAAAAAATGCCCCGAGCTGAGGCTTTTTTTATAAAAAGAGATTTTAAACCCAATACACTTATCTTCTCCCCTCTTTGCCCAGCTTTCAAAAAAAAGAGATTTTAAACTAAATATACTTATCTTCTCCCCTCTTTGCCCAGCTTTCCTGAGGGCAGATTGCTGTTCCACATAGCCAGCAGCTTCTTTGAAGCAGTGAGTTTTGTATCATCTTCTGGGGAGGAAGGGCAGGGAAGAGAGGAACATAACTTTACCAAAGTACTGGTGGGAGCTTTGGCATTAAGAAAGGCAACTCCCCTCATTCCACCCACAGAGCTTATGTGCCAAAGTATTAAGACAGCTATTTTTTGCAACATTTCAGACGTATGTCTTCATTTCTTACTTCCGTTGCTTTTACCCCTATGAAGATCACACTCTTTGTAGCAGAAATACTCCTAATTTACACTATGGTAAATAAAAGAAACAGGCTGGGAATTTTTCCAGGGTGGTGTACACCACTATGTTTTCCATAAAGGAGGAATCTTCCTTCCATCACCTTCACTATGTTTTCCGTAAAGGAGGAATCTTCCTTCCATCACCTTCACATTTGCTGCAGTGATTAGGTGTCGCACTGCTTTCACATTACGGGACTAACAGAAGAACGTTATCAATCCATTTCATTTCCTCATCCATAATTTTGTATATAGGTCAAGTGTTACCATTTATTTGCTTCTCGTAGACAAGATGCAGGGAAGCTATGAATAATATTATTCATAGACAATCTCTTTTGCTCTGTGCTCATGCTCTCATATTTCTGGCAGGACCTGCCCGTCTGAAGCACAAACTTTTATGAGTGTATAAACTACCAGGCAAATAGCAAAGTCCTACTTCAACATCTGTTTTTACCCAGTCCTCACCCACGAGTTGCCCCTCCGAGCAAATTCACCATGAGCTGCAGCGCTTTGCCATATTCACATACGAATTATTTTGCTTGTAAATGAAGTACAACTGCTGCTGGAGTGAAATGTGGCAGCTGCTTAACAGTACATAATGAATCCACACAGCTAGATCCTACTGCCACTTGAGGAAGGGGGGGATTTGGTGTGAAAAATATATCTCTCCAGAGCCCTATATTCAGAAGAAATATCCACCAACTTCAGACTACAGTGGGAATTTGTCAAGAATAAAAATAAAAAGAATAAAAAAACAGGCAGCCTGCTACCGACACCCATATTAGCACTAGAATTTCCCAGTGGAATATTTTTCCTTCAGAAAAATGCCAATCTGTCAAACATGAAAGCCACTAGCAATGAATTTTCACCATGAGAAAGATACAATACATTTCAGTAATGCCACTAGGCTCCATTTTGATTTTGGAATAGTCTCATTTTTTGCTTATGAAAAACCCGTCACTTCAGGATTCTCTCTGTATTATCCAAAAGGTTTAATGTTGCAATGTAAAAAAGATTCCAAGTGTTATTGCAGTAGCTCGCTAGATTCAGCCTGGCATTATTTTTCAGAATGCGGTTTCCCAGGAAGTTTCAGACTTTGTTTCTCATTTGAATGAGGAACAGAATGTGAAAGCACTTGGAATGTACTGAATCTCTACAAAACTGAAAGCCCGGTTTGGTCCCACAGCATCTAGCACTGAAACTCTCCATGAGAGTGAACTGAGCCCATCCCATCGTCGTGAGTATAATCAAAGCGTTTTCTAAACAGAGTTGTCATGACATCATCCGTGCAAGTGACACGGATACCCTTTCACCTGCTCATAGCACCACTGTGCTTTATCAAACTTTGCCAGTAACTGCTCAGAAAGGTAAATAAGTGCACTAAGTAAGTGAAGGGGCACTTTTACCCTTCTCACCACAGTGTCTCTTGTCTGCCTCTTCATAAATGGGCGTTGGGTTCCATGAAACAGCAGAGACTGTTAGAGCCAGACTTTTGTGGAGGGCGCATCAAAGCGAAGTTCTTGTTTTCCACACTGTATTAGCCCTTGTTTGGCACTTCTGTGTCCAGCCCTTGGCAAAGCGCCGTAGGCACGAGACAATTTATTTCACACTTTTTTGTTGTGTTTTTGTCTTCGTGTGAACAGATTGCAACCGTCTCACATTCGTCTGTTTTTCAGCATCATTCCTGCCCTCCTCTAATGAAGAACCTTGGGCCCGCAGATCATCCACAGACAATTTACTGGAA